CACTTTTCGTACACCAATATTACAATACTTTGGTCCTTTATATAGACCAAATTGGCACACAATACTATACATGATAATAATATAATAATATAAGTGATAAGATTATAATTAATGGATAATTCCATATATTTACAATATTATCATCTTTTTTCATATCATTAAGTGATCTTTTTAAAAATAAGCTAATTGTTTTAAATAGCACAGTCAAAGTCAAACTCCTTAAAACCGCATAAACAATTGCTAAGATAATAATTTTAATATTTTTTCAGTTATTTAATTGACCACAATTCATGAATATACAAAAATTGCATTGTCCATTCCATTTTTATGCATTTAACAGTCATTCATATTAGTTAATAATCTTATGTTATATATTTTTCTTACTAATGACCAATTTTTTGAAATATTATAACATTATCTGATTTATAATTCTAATATTATAAGCATATTTATAATTAGAATTTTAAACGAACCGAACGTTCGCTAACAAAATTTCGTTCGTGTTCGACAAAAGCTTGTTCGCTCGTTAATCGAGCCGAGTTCGAACATAAAATTAAGCTCGTTTGATAATCGAGCGAACACAAACTCGTTCGCGAACGTTCGATAATGTTCGCGAACACTAATTTAATATAATTTTATTTTATTTTTTATATATTTACATAATATTTTTAAATATAAAGATATTTTTATTTTACTTTTTTGTTTTCGAATTCGAACGAGTTCGAACAAACAAATTAATCAAACATATTTAAAAAGTTTATGTATTAAAATTATTCGAATACGAACGAACTCAAACTTTGACGAACAGTTAAACAAACGAGCTCGAACACGAACGTTATTCGAACGTAAACGAGCACAACTCGAACACCCTCTGCTCGGTTCGTTTCGGATCATTCACAACACTACTTATAATACTTCATTGGCATATGTCTATGATCGAATACTAGTAATAATGATATCGGCTCAAAAATGGAGCAAGGGAGTAGGCCAACCCCACCATTGTCTATACAAAATCCGGCAAGACGAGATTTTCCAGCTCATCGATTCATCCACGTGTCACCTTTTTCAATGGAAGACAAATCCCAACCAATCCGCATATTAATATGCCCTTTTGTGCCCTCACACACTCGTCCCTCCCATTTCTCTATTATTCATTTGTTATTTTTTTTATTTCCTCTCAAAAAAATAGCAGAAGAATAAAATAAATAAATAATCGGCGGTTTCATTTTCACCTGATAATCTCGAACCGGAGACGAAAATGGTGGACGGCGTGTTGAGCACCGGCCGGTGCGACAGATTAGGTTTTGAGGAGACGGAGCTGAGGCTCGGGATTGGGCTGCCCGGCGCCGGAGATCAGAAAGGTAACGGTAATTACGGCAAGCGAGGGTTTTCCGAGACTGTGGATTTGAAGCTCAAACTCTCGACAGAGGAGATCGGTGATTTGGATCGAGATGATTTTGAGAAGACGACGAATCTGAACAAGAAGAGCCTCACGGCTTCGCCTACCGAATCTGTTAAGCCGCCGGCGAAGTAATTACCCTCTCTCTCCCTCTCTCTGCGTTTTTTCGAATTTTGTTTTTGTTGATTTGATTTTGTGGGAGTGTGATTCGTAATTGGGGGAATTGATTTGGTATTTGGTAGCAATTTGATTGGAATTCTGTGGTGTGTGTGTGTTTTTTTTTTTTTT